ATTCTAATATGGGGGCCCAAGAGCTGTAAGTAGGGTTCAAGGAGCTTCGGGTTTCGGGGTTTAAGGTTCAGGGTTCATGGCCGATCCCAAGCCCACCGCGCCCGAGCACGAGATCCACCTGCTGCGCTTGGGCGCGCGCTACGTCCTCATCCACAACTTCGACGCCTTCTGCAGCATCCGAGGCGCCGCCAGGGACAGCTCCAGGTCGCTGACGCACTGCATTAACACCTGCCCCACGTGCCGGTGCAACTTCAAGACCGCCGAGGCCCTCACACAGCACCGCGAGCAGCACCAGGAGCAGCCCCGCAGCTACGACACCAGCGGTCGCAAGCTCGTGCTGAGGATGCCGTGGTACCTATAACGTCCTAGAGCATCTTACGAAACACAAGCCTACCTCTGTTGTACCGGTAACATTTCCCCCTTCATACTGAACCTACCGACAATAGATATTCATCCAAAAAGAAAATGTTACTATATTCTAAAAATTGTTGAAGGTAATTATGAGCAATATTGAGCAATCATTAGGGGAGTGGGAGTTTCCAAGAAAGGAAGAGGGATGAGGATGCTACTTGCATGGTTGCATCTAACCAGGACAAAATCGAGATCAACGAAGGAGGTTTCCACCGGCCATGGATACAAACACGTCTTAACCATAAATTTTCAAAAGCAATCTCAATCCCAGTCCGCAGCCAAAATCTCCGGACAGGCTCTGCAAACCCAATGTACTTACTGGTTCTTGGTAAGGAATCAGATAATCAGAGAATGCCGTATATTAGGATTTATGTAAGGATTAAATTTCATTTGTTCCATACTAAGAACCAGTAAGTGTAGTGCTCAGGATTAAAGTGTAATCCCTAAGTAGATCGAATATGAGGTATATGGGGATCTCATTATATTATACCCAAAGCCATATTCTATCTACTAAAAGGGGACTATAAAGTCAAAACATCTGTCGCCTTCGGGTTGTTCTGTACCATGGGCTTGGCGTAGCGAAGGTGAGAAAAGCCTCGGCAGCAAGACGGTGTACGCGAGGAGGTCGCACCATCTAGACCCATGTCAGGCCCAAACTCCCCAGCTTGTAGCGGGTTGAGGGTGTAGAGGTTGGGGGTGTCCTCCCCCTAAGAATTTCCCACTCCAATATCATATAAGAAAGGCACATCCATCATGTGGGGGATGGGCTCTGAATTATTAAGGCGAGGTGAATACGGTGACTATTGCAGCCATTCAGAAGGGTGTAATCTTGACCTCTGAACCTGAAACTAATTTCCAAAGGCTGCGTACGAAACCCATTCTACCGCGGCCTGCTCTTACATACTAATTTTGGCTAATGCTTGGCGCATGTATCACGCATGCCCCACAAAATGGCTTTGTCGCTATGGCATCTGTCGTAAGCCGAGCATTTGTTTCAGGGCTTTTCTGTTGCAAGCTGATGGCACGGAATTGCCGCCCAAACCCGTTGCAAACTCAGTGTTGCTACTTCTTGTTGATTCACCACCGCATAACACGCAAGTGATTGTGGCCAAGGGGCCAGACCAACTAGTCGCCAACTTGTTGGGAACAAGCCAGGAACGTTCGTCAGCGCTGTCTGCGGCAATTTTACAAGCGTTGTAACATCTTTATAACATGCATGCCGACTATCGCCAATGCTCCGAGCACAAGTACGGCCCGGACATTTCCCAAATCTACATTTGCCAGTGCAGAAACCCACCTTTCTGTGCCATTGCCCAAACTGTTTTTTTATAGTCCCCCTTAAGTAGATAGATTGTGGGGATTTATGAGGTATATGAGGATCCCATTATAATACACCCAAAGCCATGTTCTATCTACTAAAGGGGGACCATAACTCTCAGGGCCGGACCGTCATTTTGCCTGCCACAGGGGTTGCGGTTCTGAGGTTGGCCACACGCTGCGATTTTGGGATAGGTTCGGGGGCCTTAAATGGTTTGCAATGACTCAAATGGGAACCATATGGGGAGAAAAAAACATTTTGGGGAGTCAGGATGTCTTGGACGGTGAAACCTTTTCACACAAGTGGCAAATTTGTCCGACATAACGCAGGTGCAAGCTTGGGTGTCCCAGCTTGGAAAAAATACGTGCAGTTGCATGGCCCTGGCATGAGCGCAAGCCTCTGACCCTGAACCCCAACACGTACGCGTAGGGTTCCTGTTTGAGGCTAAGGGATTGGAAGCTGAAGAGGAAAGAGAGGGGGTGTTCCTAAGCTATCAAAACGAACAAGACCTCCTTTGCATGCGTCGGCCGGATAATGCGGAAAATCCCGGAAAGCATCCGAAACAGTCAACTTCGCAAAACGAGTTGACGCCTCCCTCCGCCGTGGCCATTGCGGGATTGACCCGGCGAAAGTGTTGGCCCAATAGGCAAAAACCCCAAACTTGTTCAAACTGCGAGCTCCACGGGCACAACAGCTTGCAGGGAAGCCTTTGGGGTTTCTGAAAGTCAACTTTGAATATACTTGAATCGCTGAGACTTCAAACCAAACCCAACCCTGCTCATGTACCCACAAAAACTGAACGACACTCCTTTGAACACACATTGTGCAAACTTTGCTTGGTTCATTTTAAGTCTGTAAGGTTTGTTGGGGTTGGGGCGGCCAAATCTTCGAAGAGTTGTCTTCCAGGAAGCCCAGGGCTTTATGCGTGGGCGCTTGATGATCATGCGCGAAATCGTGATGGCAAGGGGCCAACACGCCTACAGCCAAACGGGGTTACACACATCTAGCAAGGCGTCATTTGCCGCAATTCTGAAGATCACGACCTCAAAATCGTTTGTGAAACCCAAAAGTTCAAAATGATCACAGCCCGCCTGAAATAATTGAGAGTTGACTGTGCCGATTGCCGTTTGGCACCCATCTTCGTGACCTGGGCATCTAGCGACTTCGTGATTTTCTTGGTTGAGCAAATGTGTTTTCTAAGGAACCAGGCAGCGTAGAAGTTGAAACGTTTCAGAGTTGGCGCTCGGCGGCTACAAACATTTTTGCTGGCAGGAGCTCTAGCAAGTCCAACATGGAAACGTAAACACAAATATGCAAACCACAACGGATTTTGTGTCACACTGACCACTTTTTAAACTTGCCTCCCACGCAAGACGAAAACCAACAACCCTTCCCTGAACACTCGCTGTTTGTCTGCACCGAAACTCAAAGCTAAACGTTTGGAGCCCTGCAAACAATGCTCTCCGAGTGCCACGCAAAAAGCACGGAAAGGATGGACGACAGGCACAAACTGCGGCGGATTTTACGAGGTCGGTCAGGTCATTGAAAGGCATGAGCACGCTATGCAGCCATGAATTCCCACGCAATGATTACCATGGTGCTGGGAGTGGGCCTTTCATGTACTTTGCGAATTGTGCCTTGGTAACTGAACGCAGCCGTACTGAGAGGGATATTGTGTCGGTATTGTACCAATTGTGCTGGGCCCACATGAATTTCAGACCGGGTCTGGCTTCTTTTGCCCGATTACCTCAGGGTCACAACCATCAATCAAGCGCAACAAACTGTTTTTCTGCACGTGATCAACACAGTAGTTGCCCATTCTTTGTACATGTGACCGAGACAATTAATTCTCCGGCAAAAGGCATGATCAGCATGTACCCTTCCGCGCTTTGATATCGTATTGCCCCAACCACTGCCACGCCGGAAAGCACATGCGAAGGAACATGAACATGAACAAAAAAATACCACATGAATTGTGAGTTGACTAGCACGTCATGCCATAGAGGGCAATAACAATAGAAATGTTTTCGGCGTGGCATGGCACATCATCTGTGCAACGCTGATGCATCTTGGCAACACACCACACCCCAATTCGACGAAGTTCGAGCCTGTAGAAATCTTCGGAGAAGCCATGCCACCAAAGGAAGATGCCCAGAGGAGTGAGATACCTGCCAATTGCAATTCAATGGCCGTGAGGCGAAGGTCGCTGACAACAGCATGTGTTTGAGGCAACGCAACATTGAAAAGTATTGTAAGCGATTTTATACAAGAACTGCCCGTGGAACCCTGCATTGGAGGCCCGTAGGGCCCATGCACCCATGTGGAAATTGACCGCTGATGATTTTGCATGGGCTGAAACAGACAAGGTACCTCGACACATCTCGACACGATGATGATGTGCTGGCATGCACTGGAAATATCGGCATGCCCGGACATTTGAACTGATGGCATCACCAACACTTGAGGATGTGCCCGGTAGTTGCCCACATGTATCGCAAGTACTCATGATCTATAAGGCTTGGCTTCACACATCCCCGAAATTCCCCGAACTTGTACACTCGCCAATCCGACGCTAAAATGGGTTTGGGGGGCCTTGTGGCAGATCAATTATGGCTATATAAGCCTGCAGTAGAATTTGAAAAGGGTAACTAACATTAAACAAACCTTTTCAAACCGACCCTGTAAAATCATGTGGCCTCATGGTGTCCTCGGGTTCATCAACCAGCGCAAGAAACCGATCAACTTCGGCTTCCAAATCCTGTCAAACATGTGCGGCTTCAGGTTTGTCTACGCCGCCATTTGCCAATTATACCATGATACCCACGCACCTGCAAATCGCAAACGCAAAGCTGCATCCCGAACATGTTGTTGGTCCTCGCCAAAGATTCCACGTTGAGAATGGACATTGTCCCAATATCCTATGGCGGCGCCAAAAATTTTGAGGTCGCACAGGCGCAGCTCCGGCACATCGCAATATTTCAGCCGGGCAGCGGCCGTTGAACGCACCAGACGTGTTCAGTGCCTGCCAGAATGTGTTCACCACAGAAACACATTTTCCTAGGTGCTGCTGAGGCAGACATGGCAAGCATGTTGAACACGGCTGGCGTTCACCGCCCCCAAGACACCGTATCAACACGAGGATATCCAAAGTAGTTTGTGAAGTTGATGTAGTGGTGATAGTTGACCTGTGCGCACAATTTGTGCAATACTGCGATGCGCTCTGTATCATACTCCAGCTGGACATTGCCACTTTGGAGCTGCAGGGTTGCAATCAAGAGGCATTATTGAAAATGTACCCGATGTCCACTGGAAAGTCACCTGCGGCGCGCGGGTGGGAAACGCGCCTTTATTCCATAATCATTGAAAATAGATGCCACTAGAAAGGGCCCTGTCCCTCACCAGCAATGAGGCCGTAACAAAACCGTCAATGTGTGGTGAAACAGCAAGCCAAAACTTTCGAAACCACATCCTGCCATGGCACCGTCGGCCGTTGGTTCCACCCAAGTCTTGGAATGGCCGCCGATGTCATCGGTAGCTTCTAACATGACCACCTGTCCACACAAACGTCCATGGGCAAGTCATGGACCACGAAACCCACACACATCCTGTAAAGCCAACACACCGTGTATGTTATGCCACGCATTCCAGTTGTGCACGCAAACCTCTGCTGAGATCGCGCCTTGCGCCCGCTTTTGGTCAGCATCCATGCTGCTGAGAGGCCGCTGGGCCCGGTGCCCACCACCAGGACTGGAAGTGATGCGTCCTGCAAGCAGTAAATGTGCAAGTTCGTTCGTTTGCATGCCACCAAATGACACGCGCAATGGCATCACTTGCTGAGGAAACCATGTTGGATCGGAACATGGGGCCGCCACGTATGCCGTATTCAACACGGCTGTCTCTGTGCTGTAGAACCTGACGGGTGGACATTGCATACCCCGCACGTGTAAGCTGCCATCAACTTCCGAAATGCCAGTACGCGACAATCACATCCAAGGAGCAACCCCAGGAACAAGGCGATGAAGGCCACCAATGCCGAAGAAGGGGCCCCGATAAAGACCTTGGTGCTTCCGAGGTGATGTTGCCCTTGGCCGTTTCGATTTTGCGCCCTCCACACATCTTTTACAGGAAACATTAGGAGCACGCAGCAGCAAAGGATAGACACCCACATGACCCAATTATCCCCAAAAACATGCACCGAAAATTGGTGTTTTCAACACACTATTGTCATCTCCAACTTATTTTGAAACAAGGTATCTGCGGCATACACCACTCTGTTCCGACATGACAAACACTCCATAAGCAGCCGCTGCGCGGCTTCTTGGTGGTACAACATGATCCCCAACGTCGAAATTGTTCATTTCCCGCTTGCCTCCAGGTGTGTAAGTTTTCCATGGCCCTGTTTTGACAATGTTTCCTTCCCTTTCTTGTCTATGTTTTGGGGCGACATGTCGCGTATTAAGGTTTAGTTCAGGACTGGACAGCACTCCCGGTGCCGCAGTATTCAAACCTTGTGTCGGCCGCGAAGTGTCATAAGAAGTGTAATGATTTGGAATGCACAAGGCTATCCGTTTCCTTCAATGTTCCAACCGGCTACATGATTACATGGAGAATGTGGACGTCGCTAAGGGCGCTTATTGACATCCCGACAACATTCGTGACGCCGTCCTCAATGTTTACTTGCAATCCGCCTTCAATCATGACAGTTGCAAGTCGGGAACCGATTTCCCATTGAAACGCACCACTACTTCCGGGGGTCATAACATTGTTTTTGTTTCCGCCGTGAAACGTGTGGGCTCAGGCATGTAAAGCAACAATGGGCAAAATCCTGTTCCCTGGGAAATGCAGCAACAAGAAGCCGTAACAACTGCCTGCTTCCCTAGCTGAACGCTGGCGTTAGGGCCGGCTGATGAAGATTCCTTAGGGAAAATTATGCATCAGGAGACGCCGTGTTTTGAAGAAACGGACAAAAAGTGTAACAATGCCTCTTCTGTGGCAAACGCCAACGGTTGCAGTACTTTTGATATGCACATTTTGGCCACATCGCATCAGCAAATCGCCATGGAGCCGCTGTGTTTTGAGCAGCCGGAAAGAGTGCACAGTCATGTCGCCCACTATGGGGCATTTGCATCAGGATCTCGAGAGAAATCCTGGATCCAACAAGAGGAAGGAAATTGCTATGGGATTTTGCAACGGTACCACAGGAGTCATCCATCAAGTTGCCGGGAACGGCCGTTCCTGTACGTACCTTGTACCACCAGCGAACGACAATCCACCCGTTTGCCCGAAACGGCCCTTCCAGTACAAAACGTGTAATACCACAGAACGAAGATCCTCCCAGTTGCCGGACCCGAACGTTCACGGCCGTTTCGGTAAAACAAAAAAAAAAATACTATACCAGAGACCGAACATCAACCCGGTTGCCGGACACGGTCCGCACCAAATTAATACCACCGGCGACCTAAACCCATCCGGTTGCCAGACACGACCGTTCCAGTTCGAAAATTCTACTACCACAGAACGAAAATCCATCCGGCTGCCGGAAAGGGTCCTTCCAGTACTAAGCTTGTACTACCGGAGAACGAAAATCAATCCTGTTGCTGGAGACAGCCCTTCCAATACTAAGCTCCCTATTTGGTTTGTATTACCATAAATCGAAAATCCATTCGGTTGCCGGAAACGGCCGTTCCAGTACTAAAGTTGTACTACCAGAGAAAGAAAATCCATCCTGTTGCCGGAGCATGCCGGAGCCGGCCCTTCCAGTACTAAACTTCGACTGCCAGAGAACGGAAAATCCATCCGGTTGCCGGGCATGGCCGTTCCCGTGCTAAACTTGTATTACCAGAGAACGAGAACCCATCCGGCTGCCGGAAACGAAGTGTGAGCATGTAAACTATTTTTTTGATGACAGTTAAGAATCTGCAGTCCCTCGTGAGAACGTTGGTTGACACGATTTCCGGTAGTCTACTTCCCCAGTATGGGCAAACAAAACAGGAGAATTGTTAGGACTGCGGGTCTGACTGTAGAGCGTGCACGCTTCTGGGCACGCACGAGTATAAAGTTCACTTACATGTTTTGAATCGGGGTTTTGTTGCAACAGCGGGATCATCTCGGCCTAAGGCAAAGATGGTGTCCATCCCAAACATCACGCTTGGAATGTCGCAACAGTGCTGCGCGGGATGCATATATGATCCAATACGGACCTTACAAACCTTTCAGCGCGACACCGCGACGGAACATCTGGCGACGCGATGACCGCAAACGTTGCCGGGGCTGGCAAGCGGCCTATCCAATGAATTGCCAAAACGTGTAGTATTTTGTTTTTAATTTTGTTTTTTGTTTTTTATGCGGCTCTGGGCTGTCCATGCAACAATTTCCTCGTTCCAGCGCCTGTTTTGACTCCACCGGCATGGGGTCATGCGAGCACAACACAGTTTTCATGCGAGCGTGGAAAAGAAGCGTTGTCACCGTCTTCCATCCGTTATGGCGTCCACATGCGTCGACCTTTTTCGGGTAGCTGGCAAGACTGGATAGCCTGTCAAACACACGATCCCAACCAATCGCAATGCAAACGCGGTTTGTGCTTTCAAGAGCGTGCCTCGCAAACCAACGGAAACGGCACGTGCAAAAAAACTCACGAAACATCATGGTGGCAGAATGATACAGAATGAGGGCCTCTCGTTAGCGTTCAGCACGGTGATATTTTTTGCATATTTTTGTCGACATAGGCAATGTCCTTGTCGCCATGATCCGAATGACCATTGGGATTTGCCGCTGCTGCGCTGTTCAATGCTGGTGTGGCAAACAATCATGACCAAACGGGAGAGTTGCACACCCTGACACTCGTGGGTGATCTGACATGGCGCAACCCATTCAGGTGTTTGCCACCCTCGTCCAAGTGCCCGCAGCAACACATTGAGAAACTTTACATCGTTCCAACCCGTCCGCAGCACAAAGCCCGGGCGCACGTACATCTTGGCAATTGTGCCAGTTCATACGCGGGCGACGCACTTCAACATATTCCAACTCTGCCGGAAGCCAGGCAAAGCTTTGGCTTTGGCCCTGAGATGCACAATTCTTCCCCGATGAGCTCGCAAGTGCAATGCGTGTTCACTTATCGCATCTTATCGCGCAATTCGCATTGACCAACATTTTAAACAACCTGCTCTGATCCGCTGTCATCTCAGTGACTGCACAAACAGGGGTGCATGAAGGCGTGTGCGGGAATCTTTTCCGCGCCTGTTTGCCGTTGACAAACATTTCTATTGACTGCGAGCCGCCTCAGAACTCCTCATGTGACTTGTTCGTTTTCTGGTTGTCGTCGCCGTGCCATCTCCGACGCACAAACAATCGCGGCTGCTCGCCGCAACTGACAGCACCTTCCGGCAGCCCATGCTTCCCTCCAGCACTGTGCTCGCAGCACACATGAGCTCAACGTTGAACTTTTCCGGCTTTGGGCGGCGTCGGTCACGTTTTGCAGGCTGACCGCAGGAGCGTGACCAACCGGCTGCATGTCGTCAGAAAATGTAGAGCACAAACCTTTCGCAGGAATCATCCACACCAAGCCTACGCGTCGTGTGTGCGCAACCATGCGCTCGGCAAGCTTCTGCTTCGCCAACCGCATGCGATTCCATGACGTGCAGGGAGATCGGGAGGAATGGGTGATTTGGTGTTGCGAGCGAGCAAAAGTCGAAAGTTTAGGGACCGTAGTATTTCCTCCAATGTGTGAGCTTCCCAAACTGAGGTGACGCAGAAGGAATCGAAAGGATTCCCCGAAAGAGGGACTGCCTGTATGTCGGCCTCCGAACGCTCAGGCACGTATGCGAAACTGAAAGCTCAAGGAACTTCGATGTAGAAGCAGAAGTATCAGGCCAGGCCCCTTTCGGAACTACAAGCGCGCGCGATGCGAGCAAATGTTGCTAGTAGGAACTGCAGCAGGTGCGGCCGGTGAAAACAGTGTTTTCCCGACGAACCTGGAACAAGTCCTCAAGGGTCCAAGGACCCAACTATAAGGGCTGTAGGTCCCAACTACCATTCAGATTATAGCATTTGGGCCCCAAAAACTCATCTCATTTGAGTCCTTGGACCTTTAGGGATTCGCAAAGTCAAACACTTCGCGGATACTGTAGCAAATTAGACCTTTGGGAGTCATATGTCGCATGTGCATAGAGCATTAACATCCAATTCTTGAGGTCCCAATCAACAAACACACTATCTTATAGCACAGTTGCGGTGCCATTTTCCATTAGATTTTTCGTTTGATTCAATCCTCCATTTACGTGGGGACCCCTTAATTCGCCGAGGCATCCACTTTAAAAACGCCTTTGCAGACACGCTGGGTGGCCTAGTCGCCCGACCATCCCGCATGAAATTTCAGCCTCGCCCAAGGTTCGAGGCTTTGGCGGTACGCGTCGGCTGCATTTTTCGCTCAAAACAGTGTGGCTTTTTGGGGGTTTTGAAAGGCCCTCGAAGTGCGACCCCCCGAAGGCCCCTGGAGGCCCCTGGAGCCCCTTGGAGGCCCCTGCAAGGCCCTGGAGCCCCCTGCAACGACCTGGAACCGGGTCGAAACCCCCCCACATGGATGGATGAAGCGGAGTAACCTCTACAGACCCTAATTTATACTATGGCTTATATA